GCACTCCAGCCTGGGTAACAAGAGCGAAACTCCGTCTCAAAAAAAAAAAAAAAGCTACCTTCAATAAAACACCAAGAGCTTAGGAGTGAGACCTAATACCTTAATGCTAAAGTTTACAGGGAAAAAAACCAAAGCATGGCCAGGACAATGCTGAAAAATAAAAGTAATGATAAGTGACTAATCTTACTTGATAGTATGACATAATATAAAGTTACAGTAATTAATTAGTATGGAACCTACACATAGATCATTGGAGGAGATAAGATCAAAACATAGATCCGAGTAAACATGAGAATTCAGCACATGATAAAGAGCAGAATCAATCAGTGGAAGAAAGGTGAATTATTCAATAAAATTGTGTTGGGACTAGTTAGCCATATGGAAAAGAAAATTACGTTGGCCCAATCAATCACTATTTGGCCACACTGTGGCCTGTTATATAGTTCCTGTTCCACAGGGCTCCAGAGGCAACCAAGCAGTTCATGCACAGCTCTTAGCAAGTGCCCAGAAAATATCAGCTCTTAGGACAAGCCTTCACTTTAAGCCAAGACAAACACATTTAAAAACAAGACATAAACATTCTAGAGGAATATACGGGAGTTTTTTGTTGTTGCTAATAATTTTGAAGAGAAGAATGCCCTTCTATTTAAAACAAAACTCAGAAACCACAAGATATTAGACTGAAAACTCAACTCCATAAAAATCAAAACTCTGACACAGAAGAAAACAGAGTAACCATAGCTTTGTCACACAGCAGCATGATCTCAGCTCACTGTAACCTCAGCTTCCTGGGTTCAAGCGATTCTCCTACCTCAGCCTCCCGAGTAGCTGGGACTACAGGTGCCCTCCATCACACAGCTAATTTTTTTATTTTTAGTAGAGACAGGGTTTCACCATGTTGGCCAGGCTGGTCTTGAACTGACCTGGTGATGGGCCCACCTCAGCCTCCCAAAGTGCTGGGATTACAGGAGTGAGCCACCATGCCCGGCCACAAGTGTCCATTTTTGTTGTTGTTAGCCATTGTTATTTTGCCTACAAAGGCCTATTTTTACCTTAAATATACAAGGAACTCCTTCAAATCTATAAGGAAAAAAATCGAACCACCCAAGAGAACATTAGGCAAGGTTATAAATAAGTCATTCACTGAAAAGGAAATCCAAATGGCTCCAAAAACAGGAAAACACGCTTTCTATCTTAATTATAAGGCAATAAAACATTAAAATTACTACCAGACATAATTTTTCATCTACCAGATTAACAAAGATTGAAAAATCCAACCTATTAAAAATACATATGCTCCTTATTCCTTAGACCCAACCATGCTACTTCTGGGATTTAATATTACAAGAATTATGTGGCCGGGCAAAGTGGCTGACGCCTGTAATCCCAGCAGTTTGGGAGGCTGAGGCGGGCAGATCACGAGGTTGAAGTTCAAAACCTGCCTGACCAATGTGATGGCTGTAACTGAGGGTGGCAAAGACAACTTCAGATATTCGAGTATTCCCCGTTTCCCCCCATCGCACCTCCCAGGGCTCTGTCGCCTAGGCTGGAGTGCAGTGACCCGATTTCGGCTCCCTGCAACCTTCACCTCCAAGTGAAGTGATTCAAGCGATTCTCCTGCCTCAGCCTCCCAAGTAGCTGGGATTACAGGCGCGTGGCACCAGGCCCGGCTAATTTTTGGGGGGCGTTTTTGTTTTTGTTGTAGAGACGGAGTTTCACCATGTTGACCAGTCAGGTCTTGAACTCCTGCCCACAGGTGATCCACCAGCCTCAGCCTACCAAAGTGCTGAGATTACAGGCATGAGCCACTGCACCCGACCTTGTTCACCTAATTTTATCTTCCCAAGACGAATACAACCAAAACTATTTAAGAAAAAAGGCCAGTGGGCCAGGCACGGTGGCTCTCGCTTGCAATCCTAACCAAGGATCGCGCCTCTGCACTCCAGCATGGGCAACATAAATAAAACAAAAAATAAAAGTAAAAACGGCTGGAGAGGTGTGATGAACAACGCATGGTGTTTGGTTTGGTATTTTACTTTACTTTGCTTTATTTGCCTGTTCCTACTTTGGTGTCGGACGCCCGGCAAAAGCTGAGCTCCGCGAGGCGGTCCTGCAGTCGGGCGGGCCCCGCGAGCGCCAGGCCCCCGCCCAGCGCCCACTTACTTGTCTGGGACGCCGGGTGCTCCTGGCTTCTCTGGAAGGGGTACCTGAACAGCAGCTTATTGCCCCTGCTCCCGGAGCTCACCAGAATCACGCTGATGGGGCTGGTGTTGTCCCCCATGCCGCCGAGGGGCCGGGGCCGGGGGCGGAGGGGGCCTG